GAAAGGAAATATTCTGGTTGACTGTAACCCACGGAGAACACAGGGTGGGTGGACGAGGTTAATTCTCAGTTTTAAGGCGAGGAAATCACTTTTTTTTTCTGCAGGTAGAGTTTGAAAGCTTTTTGTAGGCCAAAATGTCTGGAATCCTGAAACACCACTTCTGTCGTTACCTTTATAAATTTTCATATACGATACACTTAATCCTTCTTCAGCTTACCAGGCTACCACCAACCCTAACAAGGCTTTAGTAACGAAAAAAAAAGGGTTTTTTTCCTGGATACAAGGCAAGGCTGAGTTTACAAGGCATGGTTTACCTTGAGCAAATGGATTTTGTGATTAATGTGACTTTCTCCTAAAGCCTGACAAACTGAACTTGTTACTGAGCTGCCATTCGTGGCACTGAAGAGCACACAATTTTTAATTTTTTTTCTTGGAAGTACAAGGTACTTTTCTAGAGACTCCTGAATCAGCAGTCTGAGAAAGAGAGTTTTACTCCCAAACAGTCAAAATAAACCCAGTTTCCTAAGCCTGTTTATACTTTCTTAAAATGGACGTATTGCACGAGGAAGACTTATAGTATGGAGACTCAATGAATAACTTCTTAAAATATTAAAATGAAGTAATTCTCAGAGATTAATACAGACTGTTACTATGGCCAGCTGACTGAAAAAATTCTCTTCCTTGGTCTAGACACACCTAGAACACTTGAATGGTGACTAAAACAGAGCAAGAGTGCTAAGCTGGCTCGCTGAGACAGAAGGAGAAATATTGTTCTGGACAAGCACAGGCACAGCTGGGAGCTGAGATGCTTTGGGCTGGGGCAGGGTACGGGAGGAAGCACCTCCAAGTTCCAGCACAGCTGGAATGGGAAATCTCTCTTTATTCAGCACCTTCTCTAACAAAGGAGAGGGAAGGGCGCCCTGCATGTGGCACCCCAGGTGGGAAGCTTCACACACAGAATGGGAGCAGGCACAGCCCTGCCACAGCTCCAGGAACCACACAGGGAGGCACAGGGCCAGCTCTGCTCCCACACCTAGGCCATCGAGTGTTCGTGGAGCTGACAGAAAATAACAGATGCTGGTAAGCTGTTTACATTAAAAAAAGGTAAAAGTGGAGATCAGAATGGCCTTGGATCCATCACAGCACGAAACCCCATAAGCTCTGCAGCAGCCACCACAGCAGAGAGAATTAACTTATTCCTTCCATGTGCTCACTTACAGTCACTTCATTTCTCTATTTTCTCACCTCAAACAAAAAAAACCTGACCTCCTCAGTCTTGGTAATAAACCCCCTCATTCATCCCCCTACAACCTCCTCTTCTTACTCTTAATGTGTTCAGAGATTTTAGTATTCTGGTTTTATTCAGGTGACAGCCAAATTGTCTTATTTCAGAACTTTCAAACATGTCATGTATTCCTTTTAAATAACCAAAACACTAACTCATAATAATTATTAAATTTCTGGAATATTCCTCAAGTTCAGCCCACAGTATGTCTCACTGCCACTGCAGATTTCTTTGAAGTCACCTCATCAAACCTCCTTTCTACTGAATTTTAGAAGATCATTTTCCAGAAACAGAAAAAGTGCCTTTGTCACACATGAAATGATAAATTTGCAGTGTACTTCTGGTAAGTGCAAAGATTACAGTGACCTCTGTTAGCTTTGAAAGGGGAGATCAGAACTTTTGAAAAAATTATAGGAAAGCTGTCTCCTACGTGAAGAAACATCACAAATTCACATTTCTGTGAAATGCTGTGACAATACTGGTACTAGAGACACTGCAGAGATGCTATAGATATAGACTAGAATTCATAGTTGAACCAATGTAATGGTTTGCATCATTTTTAATATGTTGCAAACACTTCCATATGTACTGGGAATAGAGGTGCTGGAAGGTATCTGAAAGCAGTGGGCAAATAATCAGAATGCTGTAACACCCAAAAAAGTCTAGCATTAAAAAAAAAAAAAAAGTCAGTAGGCAAAACTTTGAATTTAAACAGCAGGAAATCCTCAGCCACCTTTGCCAATATAGCATTAAGTGAATTTACCTGGCTGTCATACAGAAGATTCAGGTCTTACAGCACATCTTAGAGTGACCAAAACCCAAGGAAATGTAGATCTTTTTTCTGCAGTTACTGCCTTACTAAACACATTTTGTAACTGCAAGGGTTATTTTGGCAGGTTGGAGCAGGGTGGTGTCCTCCAAAAGGCTGGACTCTAATGGAAGATTTTCTGCATGTTCTACAGCGATCAAACACTGGCATTCACCCTCCCCAACGTGAGAGACTGGCTCGGCTGCACAGGCCCAGCAGGATGTGCTGGGACCTGGCCCCAGTGATGCTGCCCAGGCAGGTCAGGAACTGGCCAGCAAACACACCTGGAAAATTCACTGGTGCTGCCTCAGCAACAGCAACAGCATTGCCCATGTGTCAGTAACGACCTCCCCCGGATAACTCCAACAACAGGAAAGCAGATTTTCCTAGCAAAGAAATCAATGTGACTTTAATTTAAGGCTCCCATAAGTGTTCAATAAATTACATATTAATGGTTTATAGTATATTAATTATGAATGAATATGCACAACATTTTTTGCATCTGATTTAGGACACTGCACATCAGGGTCTGGACTCTACATTCTGAAAAGCTCTCAGATTCTCACTTTAAATGGCTTAATTGGGAAGTTATTTACAAACACACTTTATTCTTTATGTTTGATGTAAGCACAGTCTGCATTTACACAAGTATTGCTTGTAGCATCTCAGTGTTCAAGTGCTCAGCAGCTGTGGTCTCAAGAGGGAATTCAAAAGGTCAGCAAGAAAAGCAGAGATAAATTTAGTAACGTACACAAAGATGACAGGTCAGTGGATTAACCCTTACAATTCCCAGTATTAACTCCACTGCTGAATAGTCCAAAGAGTGGTTAATATCCATTTGCATGGGCACACGCTGAAGTACCAGAAGGGACTGGGACAGCCTTTGGAGTGGGAGGCTGCCAGCTGAGCACAGGCTCACCGGGGGCTGGCACTGAGCGTTTGGGGCAGAAGCATCTCTGCCTGCTCTTGCTCCTGTCCTGCCCCTGCCAGCTGTGGGCACATCCATGGGCACGGCACAATTCAGTCACACCCTTCACAAGCTACTTCGTGAGGTGATTTGGGCCTGGATCATAAACACAGTCAGACCACCAAGTCCTATCTAGTACAATTCCCTCTAGAGTGCCCTACAGCTCTGTCCTTCCAAATTATACATTAGGAACAGATCTTCACCTAGGAGCCAGCCCTTACTGCCAGTGCTGTAGGCTGACCATTAACTCCCTCAGCACTGTCCCGGTGCCTAGAGGCAGTCCCAGACACATCAGACAACTGCTTCTTACAGGGGTCTGCTGACAGATTTATAAACTACACCAAGTACAAAATACTTCAAAACAAACCTTCTGTGACTTTAGCTGTTCATGTACAAACTGGAAGTTTCTGGATCAACTTCAATTATGCTTAATTAACATTGCAGAATGGCTGGGTGAAGTTCTCATTACTGGGGTATGCTACTTCTTAAAAAAAAAAAACAGTGAAAATCTGTATTATTCTAGTGCTTTGTACACTCACACAGGCTTGCATCGTAGGTAGGAAGAATGAGAAAATGAATTTGATTCATCCTCCAATTACACCTTTTGTGCTCACATGCAGAAACATAAACCAGTAAGGGTAAAACACTCCCAAGATGCAGAGTACTGTGACTCAGAAACCTATGGGCTCACCCTGCTTGCTCTGCAGCTCACTCAGTTTCCATCATTTGAGGTTAGTGACACTGTTTTGTTTGATGAGAATGATTCTGAAACTGACAGATATAAATGCAGAAATCTTAATCTATTGGTAGTAAAGCAAACACCCTCTGCAGTTTCAGTCCTGCAGACTGCTAGCAGTATGTGAGTCAGGAAGAGCCTGGAGCACCCTCCATCAGTACTGAGTGCAGGGGGTAACTCCTGCAGTGTGACTGACAGGGGTTCTCAGACAGCAACCTCCTCAATAATAGCATCACACCACCAGTGAAGAGAAAAAGCATGACAGCTCTTTGGAGTGATCCCCACCAAGTGATCTCTGAACACTGATGGTAACTATGGCAGCCACAGGTAGCAGAGCAGGTCTTAACCCTTAACACATGCAGTATGAAGCTGCATACTCTGAATTAGGGACTTGACTTTCATTTCAACTATGCTTTAAGCTTCTTAGCTAACTGACTGCACTACAGAAAGGATTCCAGGAAGAAGTATTAGTTCCATATGAAATGTTGTAACATCAAACTCCAGTTTTTCAACGGATGGACTACTAATTGCATAAGGAAGGAGAACAGCACTGCACCTGAATGGGGGGAGGCCAGCCTTTGGCACACAGGACATTTCCCACAGTTAGATTTACAAAATAAAAACTGGCTCAAAAGATACATGCCTACCCCCAAGAACACCAAGAAGACACTGCAGTACCTCAGAGAATTAAAATGCGAAAGCCATAACATTAAACTGGTTTTCATCTGGGCATCATTTCTGACACCACCTTACCTGGAGCTTCAGCATTCAGGTCAAGGTTATCTCAACTCATAATGAAAAAGGTTTAGCACATTATTTTGGCTTTATGCAAATCTCCTAGTCACCTTCCACATCAAGATGCTACAGGCACAAAGGTCAGTACTGATGACTGCCTGCACTTCTGAGTTCTATCATGGGCATTCAGGAAATGCCTCTTGTTTTTCCTCAGAGTAGGAAGGTAATGCAGCACCTCCTCTGTTTGCAGGAAATTATTCTATTCACTGTGAGCTATAAGGAGATGGCAAAAGTCACAACCACACAATTTTAGTTACTTGTTGGATGTTCCTGTTACAAGTAGTCTTGGCCAAGTCTGATGTCAATATTAACATTATTTTGTCAACCCACTTTTAGGTTTTCTACAGGGAAAAAAAAAGATAAATCAAACCTGGTAGGATCTACAGCAGAAGAAAAAGAGAAGTCCTACCTCTACTACTGCTTTGGCATCCAGTCTGAAGTTGAAATCTCCAAACACAAAATATGAAACTTTCTCAAATCGCTGATCAATAATTCTGGAAAAAAATGAAAACAGAACAAACCTGTCATTTAGCTTTAAAACATGCAAGAATATGCAAAGACACACGTTACCCTTCAGCACAGTTTCAGAAATAATTATTGGAACCATCAAAACTTCCAGTTTATACTGGATCAGTATATTAATCATACTTTTTCAGTTTATTTTCTTTGGTTAGGCAATTTTATCTCCAACCCTTGTACAACAGTGCACCTGATTTCCCATGCCTGGCTGACAGAGCAAGCTGGGGAAAGCATATTTGCAGCACTTCATACAAATCTTGCAGAAGTGGCATTTGGGGACCATGGAAATCTTGAGGGTACCATGGAGGTCCTTCCCACCTTGGAAAAGTAAGGATATAGCTTTGGGCTGGGCAGGTAAGAATTAGGAATGCTGAATTAGCAGTGAGTTCAGAGTACATTTGAGGTTACTGATATACAAGCAATGTCACCTGTGTTTTGGGGTACTTTGTGAACCACCCAAGAAGTGACAGGGTTGGGCTAGACATTAGCCATCCCATCTGACAGACTGAGCCTCCCTGAGGTTCCCAGACCAGCCACAGCTCTCTCAAGACAGCTCTCTGTGTTGCTCACAGGAGGCTGTAGCTAACACCTAACAAGTAATTGCTCCAGCTGTGAAGGTTGACTTTTCCTCAAGCCTTTGCTCAGTTTTACCCAGGCAGATACAGCATTACTATGCATCTTTCAAATCTTGTATTATTAAAAACTCTCATATTATTAGGTAATCTATTATTAGCAACAGTTGCAAGGTACTCTCAACAATACACAATTTTACAGCTTCTAGAGATCTTGGCATTTAGAAATCCACCAAGTCATGCTTATTTTCAAACCAGGAATCAATAGAATTCATCTATCAGTGGCTAAGGAAGGCAGGAAACACTCAAAACTCAACTGCACAGCCACAAAGAATTTATACAGACAAAATGCACAGAATCCCCCTGGGTGTGCAAGAAGAGAACTGAGGAATGAACGCAGGCAATACCCTGTGAACATTCTGGAATACATCAGCATGTGAGCATTACTGTCAGAAACCCCAGGTGAGCCTGGGCAGGGCCCACGTGGACAGGTAAAGCACTATCCAGCAACGCTGGTCAGGAGGCACTGCTGCCCATTAGGAGGCAATTGTTTCACATGGCTTCACAAGTTCTAATGCATTGCACCCATTTATTCTCAAAGCTGTAAGGAAAGATGTAACATTGGCTCTGTAATGAGATACTGCTTCTCCTCTGAAAACATCTCACGGTTTTCGTCAACAGCAATCTATTAAATAAGGAATATTATTCTATGGAAAAAATTATGTGCATTGGGCCTAAGACACTGATCATTTGAAGAAAATCTCTTGCAAAGACTTATCTGTTTCCGCTATGAAAATCTCCAATCCTCCATTTAGCTGACAGATTATTGCAGGCACTGTTAATAAATACTGCCCACTGTCAGCTCCCAGCGAGCCCTGAGAAAAACCTGTCACTCCTGACCTGCACAAAACATTAGTTTGATTAGTGCCCTCACAGAAAATTGAAGGAAAATGAGAACGTAAACCATTTACATTGCCACAGTTTGCTAAAAGTTAAACCATTTACATTGCCACAGTTTGCTAACACTATCATTGCAAAACACACAACTTACACATCAGAAAAAGACTTTGCTTTGCCAACTGTCCTGATTCAAGGATCAGCTTTGGCTTTGCTCATTGCCATTTACTGCTAACAGACGAATGACAGATATTGCAGGAATGACATCAAGGTCCACCGAAGGCCTCTTGAAACAAATTTGGATTATGAGAACCATGCCTGTGATTGAATTATGCAAAGACAGATTTTCCAAATAAACAGACTATTAAAAAAATAGTCTGTGAAAATGTCTCCAAACTGATGACTGAACCAGCTGATTAGTCTGCTTCTGATCAATTAATGAGAACTCAGCCATTTCATAGTCCTGCACATTGCCTGATTTAAATGCGATTTGCATACAAATCAATGCCAGCTCTACAACTGATAATTTTGTCCAGTTTCTCCCCTAGTAGCTTGTCTTGTTGGATATTTTAGAAAGAGTGTCTCATGATAGATTAAAGTAAGAGTCCAAATGTTACTTCTCCAGAATGATGCTCCAAGTGGCTTCTGACACATCTCTTTTCACAGCTGGTGAAACTAATTCAGATGTACAAGAAAATCTGCAATGGTGGCACAGCAAAGGATGCACACATTTATGTACTTACTAAGTGATGTGGGGTACCTAACAATGAAAATTCCTTTAAGTGACTCAACTTAATACGTGTATGTAACCTAATGTCCTTGCCATTACTTACTATCAATAAATAGAACTTACTATTAGTTCAAGACTTCCCAAATCTTCAGCAGTTTCAGCAGTTTGGAACTATGATAGCTTTGTGCTGAAATGCCTCCAGTACCTAAAACTGCCCTGAATCAACGGCACAAGAACCAGTACTTTCAGAGTCAGACCCCAAGTCTGCAAAGGAGATGGCAATAAAGAAGGGTGCAGCCATGTCCCCTCCCCTGGGAACGTGCAGAAAGCTGTCACTGAGGGCACTGGGACAGAAATGGGGCACTGCAAGCACAGCCAGTCTGGCCAGGGACACAGGGAAGGTGTTAGGACTGGGGTGAGAGCTAAACAGAAGTCCTCTGTTCCTTGTGTTTCCATGTTCTAAGCCATAAAAATGTACAGATCAACATGTGCAGAGACAACTGAGAATTCTGAAGACAAATTTTTAAAAAAAAGAACAAGTGCTTGCAGAAAAACTATGAAGGCTTCCAAATCTATGTCATTCTCCTTTGCTTTTTGTTTCTAAAAAATATCCTTCCTTTAACTGCGAATCAAATAGTCCTTTAAAACTGCCACCACGAATCACTCAATGAAGTGATAAATCTGAACCATATACAACGAAAGCAGCCAGTCCATGTCACCAGTATAAATCCTATGGTTTTAGTGGGAGGACCCAGTGCCATTTCCTTTAACAACTTTTACCAGCTCATCCCAAAGGGTTTCAGAACACCTGAAGGCTCTATTCCTGTACAACTTTAGACAGCTTATGACAAAACAGGTGACTCAGTTACTCATGACTGTACAGAAGGCACAGGTACTTCCCTTGCACAATTCCACATGCCAGCACACACAAGTCATCAATGCCTTTGCTGGCCTTGCTGCTGCTTGTGACCTGTGCAAGGCCATCAGGAGGGGACACGGGTTCAGACTGGATCCAAAACTCAAGTGCAAATGAAACAGAAAATGTTTCCAACAGATGACAGCCAGCCCTTCCTTTGCAGAAAGAGAAGTCTTCATTTTGAAAAGGGTGGAAGAACATTCACACTCCTCATCCTCTGCTCTTGCTCCAGAAGGAATCACTTATAGGAAAATAATTTTTTAACATTTTAAAACATACCAAAGCAAGATCTTTACTTCTGCATGTTTTGGAAATCAATATAACAAACTGGAAAATCAACTGCACTGGGAAAAAAGCATGCTGCCATCTGGGTTTACTGCTGTCCCTAGTAAACTTTAGAGCACACAACCATAAACACCACAGATGATTTCTCCTCTACCAGTTCTAAAACCACAGAACTTGTAATTACACCAAGAGTCCTTGATAACAGACTCTTCACACCTGGAACACATTAGTTGAATTATTTTGCCAGTTTCAAACACATTATACATTTTTAATTGATGGCACTACACTGAAAGTTTTCTGCACTGAATGGGTTAGTGTCTGTCTTCACATCTTGTTGCATTTTGAGAAGTGGCAGGCAAGCTGAATGAAAGAGCTGAAGAATGTTTTAGCCATGACAGGAGAGTAAGAGAAGGAAACATTCAAGCAATTGTTACTTTCAAGTGGAGTTTACAGTCCAAGTTATCCCCACACTGAAATGTTTTGATAAGGTAAATCCATGATTTCTACTTTTTTTTAAGGCGTAAACTTAGCTGTCACTAAGTAAATTACTAATTAAATTACAATTTCTTTGCTGCAAAATAAATACATATAATTCTTATTTTGGTCTAATAACTGCAATTTGGCTCACTCTGGGTATCAGTAGATCTTTACAGGCCCAGAAAGAAGCTCTCGTGTTGCACTGGAGACATCCATGCTCTGCTGTGTCAGTCAGCCTTTGAGCAAAGCTCTTTCCCTCAGCAGAGCCTTTGGCCTGGCAGACCCTGACACACTGTCCTGTGACAAAACCATCTGTTCTTCTGGGGGCATCAGGTGAATTATGAGGAACCTCTGACCTCCCCAAGCTGTGCTGCTGAGCAGCTTCAGCCTGGGCTGACCAGCCTGGCTGGGATGGGAGCGGGCTCCAGGAGAGGTCACTCAAAAGCCATGGCAGGAGCCTGGGTGCCCCAAATTCCTCTGCCATAAGGACAGACCTCTCAGGCTGGGTGGCAGTGCCAGCTATGCTGACTGTGAAGGCTTTTTCTCAAAGCCACTTAGGAAATGTCAGATCCTTACCAAGACTAAAACAAGGAAGACAGAGGGGTTCCTCTTCTCAACATTACTGGAAATCTGGGCCTATTTATTAATTTCAGTTGCTACACACAACAGGGTTCAGTGCAGTCCTAAAGTGAACAATTCTGTGTTATTAGAATCCCTGAAATCCTTTTGGAATATATTTTAAAGTATTCCTTGTAGTAGCGAAAAATAAATTTATTTTATGAAATGCACCTCTTTTATAAATGCTGTATGGGGCACTGCATACATACTTCAAAGCACTGAAATTCAGCCAGATAATTATAGAATCAGCTTCCCCTTGCTTTCATACTTTCCCCTCTCCTCTACTGTCCCCCCTTCAGAGAATGGAGAAGACAAGGAAGCAGTTAAATATCAGCAATTTGGTCATGGAAGAGAGCAGCTGAACATGATTCAGTGTGACAAGAGGCACTGTGATTTGGCTAAACCATTTCTCAGGGCACTTTGTAAGGAGGATCAGCAGCATTATTCCTTTAATAGCCATGTCGAATGCAATAGCCAGCT